AGCTTAAAAACTACTTTTCTGTAGTGTATATAGATTTTTACTTTTTTTATCAACTCTTTTTTTTCTTGCTGTTGGGGAACAGTAAACTTTTTTATGCATTTACTGTGGAATGGATGACTATCCATGTGAAAATTTCCTAAATATACTTACATTAAATTGCCAAGGTTTAGGGGACATGAATAAAAGGAGGGATGTCTTTAAAATTTTGAAAGAAAAAAAAATAAATGTTTATTTCCTTCAAGACACACACTTTGTCACAAAAAATGAAAGCATGATAAAAGCATTATGGGGATACAAGGCTTTTTTTAGTTCATACAAATCAAACTCACGGGGAGTTGCTACACTTATTAATAATAACTGTGACTTGACATTGATTAATGAATATAAAGATGACAATGGCCATTATCTTATTCTAGATGTAGTAATAGACAATCTTCCTTTTTTGTTAGTGAATATATATGGACCAAATCAGGATACATCAGTCTTCTATACAAAGATTTTAAATATGATACAAGAATATTACTCATCACAATGTATGATTATAGGTGGTGACTTTAAATAATTTAATTTTAGATAAGGATTTGGATTCAAAGAACTATAAAAACCTAAATAACCCTAAATCAAGAATGAAAGTATTAAAGATGATAGAGATACTAAATTTAAAAGATATTTTTCGTGAAAACAATCCAAATTTAAAAAGATTCACTTGGAGAAAGAAAAATCCAATAAAACAGGCAAGACTTGATAATTTCCTAATATCAGAATCGTTACTAAATTCGGCTCCTTATGTAAAATTTGAAAACAGTTATCGTTCAGATCACTGTCCAGTTGTAATGGGTGTTAAAACAAATGAATTTTTGAAAGGAAGAGGGTTTTGGAAATTAAATAACTCTATACTAGCGGATAAAGAATATGTAAATTTGATAAAAGAAAAAATTAAAAACATTAAATTACAATACGCTTGTCCTATCTACAATTTTAATAACATTGACTCTATTGAAAATGATGAAATTCAATTTATGCTTAGTGGTCAATTAATTATTTCTAGATACATTATTGATGGAAAAAAGAGGAAAATCAATTTCTTATTCAACTTTTAAGAAAAAGAAAATAACTGAAGAAGAATTGCAACTGAAAAAAGAAATATTTATACTGGAACAGAATTTGTCGCAAGAACATGCTGAAGAATTAGAAAACAAACATGAAGAATTAGAGAATATTAGAAAAATAAAATTTAAATGTCAATGTATTAGAGCAAAAGTGAAATGGATAGAAGAGGGAGAAAAACCTTCAAAATATTTTACCAGCCTTGAGTCTAGAAACCATCAGAGTAAAGTTATACCTAAAATTGAAAAGGAAGATGGAACTATAATTACTGACCAATTTGATATTTTGAATGAAGTTTAGCTGTTCTATGAAAAATTAAAGATATATGATGTGCCGAAGTTGAACAAAAAAGAATCAGAAAGTTTCGAAGGCCCTTTGACTAATTCTGAAGTTTTGAATTATTTGAAAATTATGAAAAATGAGAAAAGCCCTAGACCAGATGGGTTCACCTGTGAATTTTTTTGGCAGGATATAGGTGCTTTCATTACAAGAGCAATAAACAACTCGTATGAATTATCACACTTTACTGAATCAAATAAATTAGGTTTAATAACTTGCCTACCTAAACCAGGAAAACAAATATAATTCTTAAAGAACTGGCGCCCAATCAGTTTATTGAATGTGATTTATAAAATAGCCTCAGGCTGTATTGCTGAACGATTAAAAACTGTGTTGAATAAGATAATAAATAAGTACCAAACTGGCTTTTTGAAGGGAAGATTCATAGGTGAAAATATTAGACTAGTTTATGATTTAATGCATTACACCGAACAAAAACAGATTCCAGGCAAATTGACTTTGAAAAAGCTTTTGATACTATATCATGGAAGTTTATATACCAAACATTAGACTTTTTAATTTTGGGGAATCCATTAAATATTGGATCCAAACATTTTATAATGGAATCAAATCATGTGTCATACAGAATGGAATTTCCTCTGATTACTTGTTCCCACAAAGGGGATGTAGACAGGGGGACCCAATTTCACCACATCTCTTTCTACTATGTGCTGAAGTTCTTGGGATTCTCATTCGAAATAATAAAGACATAAAAGGAATTGTAATTGATGGGGAGGAATATAAACTTTCACAATATGCTGATGATACTTCAATTATATCTGACGGATCACCACAGTCTATGGATGGTATATTAAGAGAGCTTGATTATTTTGCAATTGTATCTGGACTGAAAATTAATTTTACAAAAACAAAAATGGTGTGGATCGGTAGTAAAAAATTCTCTAAAGAAGTCTTTCATCACTCGAGATGGAAGTTAGACTAGAATAATTCTACTTTTGATCTTCTTGGTGTAAAGTTTTCTATTAATTTAGACGAAATGATTGAACTGAATTACCCCCCAAAATTAAATGAAATAAAGCGAATGATAAAACAATGGCAATTAAGAAAACTTACTCCCATTGGTAGATTAACAGTGATTAAATCCCTGATTATACCAAAGATGAACCATTTGATATTAACTATTCCAAACCCCAATAAGGAATTGCTCGATGAATTTGAGAAAGACCTTTATTATTTTTTATGGGGAAGTAAAGTACATAAGGTCAAGAAGAGTGTTATAATCCAAGACTATAAAAATGGGGGGTTGAAAATGATTGATTATATGGATTTCTTGTGTGCATTAAAATCAACATGGATCCGAAGACTAATCTACTCAGACACAAAATGGTTAAAACTTTTTGAATCAGAATTAGGAATGAAAATTGAATCTCTTTGGGTAAGAGGTTAAGATTTTATAGTTAAGATGTGTAATAAAATTAGCAACAAATTTTGGAAAGAGGTTTTACTTAATTGGGTAAAAATCATTGACTGCAGCGGTAGTCAAAAAACATGTACTTCTCAAATTCTTCATGAACATAATTGGTTTAATCCAAGAATTAAAATAAATAATTCCTCTGTATTTTTGAAAAGTTATTTTGATGCAGGCTTTGTTTTCATAAGAGATCTGTTTGACGTTGAAGGAAAATTTATAAGCCTCGAGTACCTCAATAATCTGAATGTACAAACTAATTTTGTAGAATGTACCGGTTTAAAAATAGCTGTTACAAAGATATTGAAAAGTATTGATATTGAAAAAAGAGAAGAAAGTGGACCCTTTATCCCAAATTCAATTTACATTTTTTATAAAAGCACAAATGGTTGTAAAGATATGTACAATATACTCATCAAGAAGAAAAAGCAAACAATTAAAGCATTAGAAAAATGGGAAAATAATGGAATATCTTTTGGTGAGTTAGAATGGAACAAAATATTTGAACTACCTTTCAAAGTTACAAAAGAGGCAACATTTCAGTGGATGAAATTTCAAATCCTGCACAGGATTATTGCAACAAATAAATACCTTTATAACCTTAAACTAATTGCTCATTTTGTAAACAAGAATTTGAAACAATTGAGCATTAATTTTTTTAATGTTTCCGTGTAAAAAGAATATGATGTCATATAGAGGAGTGGTTTATAAAAAAAACTTCCATTTTACTATTAATTTTGATAGAAAAGATATACTGTTTGGAAAATACAACAATTAAAACATGTATAGATTACACAATATAATAATACTTACTGTTAAACAATTTTTTTTTTGCCAGTAGGTTTAAAAATTTGCCTTAATTAAGTATAGTAATGTTAGAAAAAATAATTGTAGATAGAATACTGGTTGAAAAGGCCATTCTTTTAAGAAATTGTAAATTTTCAGAATATGAAAAGAACTGGAAAATTATTTGTGATATGCTATAATGCTCTTCAAATTTATACTCAAATGTACCAGTATGGTAAAATAGTGAAAACTGTTCCCCCACCTCACTTTGTTTTCCTTCCTCACCCCTCCCCTTTCTTTACTTCTTTGTATATAAAGCTTTCACAATGAAGATTCATAATATACATGAATGTCATATATCTTTTGCAGCTTTATGAAATGAATTTGTATTTAACATTTACCAAAGAGAATTTGTATAAAGTATATAATATAAATTATATGGAAGAAAAATTATATAGTATATGTATGTATTGAATGTAAACAAATCTATTGTACATAGTCTGTAAATGTGAAAGCAAAAATAAATTCTATGAATTATAAAAATAAAAAGTGACACAAGAAATTAATATTTATTCTTTCTGATTCATAGGAATTCCATGCGAACGGAATATTCAATTTTAAGTATAACCTCTTTAATGCTAATTGTGACGTCATTAATTTGTACATTTTCCTTATTTACTCACAAACGTGCAAAAAAACATCAATTTTCAGTGGAATTTTCTTCCATAAAACATACTCTGCTACGGTCGCCCACAAAGATTTTAAGATACTAGTATGTAAATTTTCAAAGGAGTTTACATAATACATCCCAAAACTGCGATGGGCAACGGCGGCAGACACTATTTTCTAAAGAAAAATAAGCACAGAAATGAGTCATTCTGAGGCTTTTCTTCATTAAACTTAGAAATGTACCTAATGAATGACGTCATATTTCGAGAATGGTCCTCCTTCATGCCATATTCTTTAATGATTCTTCTGTTCAACTCTTGTTAAAGCCAATTACATAACTTTTAAGATCATTAAATTTTTAGGGCACAATAAAATTCAAACTGTACCTTATATTGTTCATTTACATCTAAAACATGTCAAACAATATATATCATTCCACTGGCATACATCATTGCTTTTATTTCTGCCATCCTTTAGAAAATATTTTTAAAAAATCAACCCACAGTTTGATATCATTTTACGTTGTTTGCAGTCAGGGCATTCAGACATGAGTGTTAAATATTCCAAGAATAACTGCATCACAACCAGACTCCAAAACTTGGGAAAATCTTTTCGTTGAATTCTTTTGTTACAATCAAGAATAAAAATACTCATGTCCTTTTCTTTCCAGGGATATTCTATGTGTAAAAGACAACGAAAATGATGAAACCATTCTACAGAGAGCAGCAGATAATCTGAAGACTGATATCTATGTGTTCAAATATTTTCTAGAACACAGTCGTTGGGTATCTTTTCATCCAAAAGAGAGAAGAACTCGATGCCATTTTTACATCACGTTACTTCAAATTGCTGAAAAGGAAAACCTCAAATATAATAGGATAATACCTGAAAATGGATGTAACTGTGGTTATCTACCACCAGAAATTCCTTACTTCATTACAAAGGGTAATTAATATACAGAAAATATTTAAACAACCGATACGGTTCTAATGTCAACAATATATCTCTTCATTTTGGGTTCCAGTTTTTGCGGAAAAAAGGATTATAAATTTAATTTGTTTATCCGTGCTTCCTTCTGTCATAATTGAGCTTTTCCAAAATAAGTTACAATGGTAATTTCCATTTTTATGTCGATAAGATAGATCCCGGTGAGCTTGAGATAAAATAGGCTACAGACTCTGACACATCTGTTTCATATTTGGATATTTTACTTGAAAAGACGTTTATGGCAATCTAAGAAACAAGCTCTATGATAAACATGATAACTTTAACGTATCTATGGTTAAGTTCCCTTACTTATACAGCAATATATCTTCATCGCCTGCATACGAAGTTTATACATATCAATTGATTCGATAGGCAAAAGCACGTTCTACGAATAAACAATTTCCAAAACGAGGTTAATTATTGACGAACAAGTTGATGAAACAAGGATTTCAGCAGTCTCGTTAAAAGTCATTATTCCGTAAGTTCTATGGTCAATACAATGATATTGTCAGCAAAATTAATACAATTTATCATTCATACACATGCACATATTTATTTGTCAACGGATGATTCCGTTATTTCTCGATCATGACAAGGAGCACACGGAGGGTGAATTTTGATGTCAAAATGATGTCAAAGACAAAAAAGATCAAACTTAAAAATACCATAGCTTTAAAAACACAACTTTAAATATTTATTAAAATGAAATTTAGTATCATTTGTCTTTGATGTGTGAAGACTTCTGTTGCCTAAGAGACCAAAAGCCCAAGAGACAGCTTAAATAATTAGCTCTAGATGAAATTTCAACTTTATTCTCTTAAAGCAATTGAACCGAATCATATTTGTTTATTTATAAGTTAAATATTGTTTCGAAGGAACATAAATTTTTCCAAATGCCGAAGTTAAATAAATGTTTAAGTACATGTGATTTTTTTTAGCTCACCTGAGCCAAAGGCTCAAGTGATCTTTTCTGATCAAAATTTGTCCGTTGTCTGTCGTCGTCGTCGTCGTTGTTGTCGTTAACTTTTCACATTTTCGACTTCTTCTCAAGAACCACTGGGCCAATTTCAGCCAAACTTGGCACAAAGTATTATTAGGTGAAGTGGATTCAAGTTTGTTCAATTGAAGGGCTACGCCCTTATTCAAGGGGAGATAATTGAGAAATAGTGAAAATTTGATGGTATGTTTTAAAAATCTTCTTCTCAAGAACCACTGTGCCAGGAAAGATGAAAGCATCCTCAGTAAGTGTAAATTCAAGTTTGTTCAAATCATGACCCCCGGGGGTAGGGCGGGGCCACAATGGCCGATCAAAGTTTTACATAGAAATATATAGGAAAATTCTTTAAAAATCTTCTTCTCAAGAACAACTGTGCCAGGAAAGATGAAACTTATAGGGAAGCATCCTCAGGTAGTGTAAATTCAAGTTTGTTCAAATCATGACCCCTGGAGGTAGGGTGTGGCCACAATGGCCGATCAAAGTTTTACATAGAAATATAAAGGAAAAATCTTTTAAAATCTTCTGTTCAAAAACTACTCGGTCAGGAAAGATGAAACTCACGTGGAATCATCCTCAGGTAGTGTACATTCAAGTTTGTACAAATCATGACCCCTAGGGATAGGATGGGGCCATAATGGCCGATCAGTTTTATATAGGAATAAATAGGAAAATTCTTTAAAAATCTTCTTCACAAGAACCCCTAGGCCAGGAAAGGTGAAACTCATGTGGAATCATCCTCAGGTAGTGTAGATTCAAGTTTATTCAAATCATGACCCCAGGGATTAGGATGGGGCCACAATAGCCAATCAAAGTTTTACATAGGAATTTATATAGGCAAAATCTTGAAAAATCTTTTTCGCAAGAACCATTAAGACAGGAAAGATGAAACGCTTGTGAAATTATCCTCAGCTAGTGTAGATTCAAGTTTATTCAAATCATGACCACGGGGCTAGGGTGGGGCCATAATGGTTGTTTAAAGTTTTACAAAGGAATATATAGGGAAACCTTTTAAAATCTTCTTATCAAGTTCTTCAAAGCCATGATTAGTAATATTTATATGGAATCATCCTCAGGTAATGTAGATTCTAGTTCGTTCAAATCATGATCCCCTGGGGTTGGGGGATAATTTAAGCCCTTCCTCTCCCCCCCTCCAACGTTACTAAATTTTCAGTTCTGATCTGATATGTGCTTTTTCCTAGCCGATGTGCTCAGGTGAGCGCTGTGGCCCCTGGGCCTTTTGTTAAGGTTTATTTCGTTCATTTCGTACAAAAAAAAAGAAAAAAGAAAAGAAAAAAAGCAAGAGGTGTTTGTAAAACACTGATGCCCCCGTATGGGAACATAGCAAAGATTAAGCTTTTCTAAATTGCAAATGTAATTAATTGGTACCAAAAGTAGGGTATTCTCATTAGAAAATAATTAAGAAATTTGAAAGTAAGCTAATGTTAAAGTTTTTTAAATAAGTACGAACATCTCCAAGGTCAAGGTCAAAAGCTCAATGTAATAAGTATCAAATGAAAGGTCTTTCCACATAAAATACTTATGTAGAGCATGAAATCCCTAGCCCTATATGGTCAACGTTCAATTTCTTAAAAAGTAGGTCAAACTCCAAGGTCAAGGTCAAAGGGTCAAAGTTATTTTTATCAAATGAAAGGTTTTGTCATAAGGATCAAATATGTAAAGTATGAAAGCACTAGCCCTAACTCTTTGAAAGTTATGGTCAAGGTTTGCTTTTTTATAGTAGGTCAATCTCAAAGGTCAAGGTCAAAGGGTTAAAGTTCTTGGTATCCAATGAAGGGTCTTCTCACAAGAATTCCATATATGAAGAATGAAAGCCCTATCCCTTACGGTTCAAAAGTTATGGTCAAGGTTAAAGTTTTTTTGACAATTACGGAAATCTACAAGATCAAGGTCAAAGGGTCAAGGTTGTTGTATCCAGTGAAAGGTCTTTTAACAAACATTACATATGTGAAGTATAAATGTCCTGGTGTCTACTGTTCAAAAGATATGGCCAAAGTAAAATTTTGAAATTTTCATGTATAGTGGGTCAAACTCCAAGGTCAAGGTCACAAGGTCAAATTAGGTGGTTTCCCAAGAAAGGTCTTGTCACAAGGAATATACATATGAAATATGAAAGTCATAGCTCTACTAAATCAAATGTTATGGGCAAGGTTAAAGTTTTTGCGGACAACACGACAAAAACTCTATACCCCCGAAACTTCGTTTACGGGGGATAAAAAAAAATTATTGAAAATAATTACAGTAATAATAATTACAATAATTACAATAAAAAATGAAAATAATGATTAGAAATAATAATAACAACCAGATTAGTCGGTTGCAAAGAAACGAGGATGCCTTTCGTACACTTGTCAAGGAAATGTTGCGATGTGCGACGTCTTCTTTAGAACTAATCATAGAAATCACAACTGATAAGAGAGGAAATGAGCGATTATATGGATCCATGTATATTCTGTCTGCGCTGAAGTGCCTTCATTTGACTCAGGATGATTTAAAAAGCTTGTATTTGTTTTTTAAAACACTTTTGTCTCATTTATGTATTACTACCTCTCAATATATTCGTAATATATCGTAATTTTTTGTCACTCTAGATCCCCAATTCCCTTTTATGTTTTTATTTGTCAAGATCAATATTACGAGGGGTTATCAAAAAGTTCGTGGACTAGCGCCATAAAATTAAAACCGCTTAAGGTACATTAATGAATTTTGAAATATCTAGTAAGCCTCATCTTTTCTATCCAAAAAATAAACCACAAATCATGAATTTTATTTTTAAATAAATTAGTAATGTTTTGTAAGCAATGGTATGTCCAGGTGGTGCAACCTCAGAAACGACGTTTTTTCGACCTATGTGTAACTGAGAAAAACTCTTTTGATATGATCATTTGACATAAAAAATACCCGTTAAGTCATCAAAAAAAGAGGTAGGGGCTCAAGGGCCAAAATCGCCCTGCTGACGCAGATCTAGACTCATCTATCACTTAAATTTAGCTCTTACAAAAGATAAAGAAAAAGTACAAAATTATATTTACTGGACAACATTATAATTCTATAACCATTATTTTAATAGTCGATAATTGTGTTCTGCATGATCCGCTTCTGACAAAGGCGTACAGAAGGCTTTAAAAACTTGAAATAAACAAGACAAATTAAGAAAATTATTCCTTTTATTTTTGGAAAATTTTTTTTTACAAAGCCAACTAGTATTCAATAATAATTTTATTATATTAATGCAATAAGTATTTTGTCAGCCCAAATACTTATCTGATTGCTTACTTCTTTCCATAATCATTTAACGCTACAACATCGTATCCTTTTCTCCTTCAATGAGTAAAGGCTGTGTAAAACAGTTTGTCGTGTGTTGCCATTTTGTGAGGTTTAATAATTCGTTTGAAATGCTCAAAATTATTATAAAGAACACATTAGACACAACATATAAAGATGGGAAATAAATCAATTTCGTAAAGGGAGATAATCCAAATTTCTAGTAACAACAACTTAGGCTTTACCGAAAAATCATGAAAATGGGTCTGAGAACGGTAAAAGATAAAATTTTAACCATAGAATTTGGTGGAGACGAGGTGAAAGGAGGCAAATAACAATTTACTTGAAACATCCGTCCGCCAAGGCTGTTGGTGGGAGAAGAGGCAGAGTAACGCGTCGCAAGGCCGGATTTTTTATAAAAAAATGTTGATTGATTAATCTCTGCCCCTTCTTAGACATGCAACAAAATGACCATTATAATACATCGCAAAACAATATAACAGACTTCAACATAAAAGGAGGACACTTATCGATTACAATAAACGTATATTTATTTATATTAATGCAATTAGTATTTTGACAACCCAAATATCCATCAAATTCCATAATCCTCTAACACTACAACATCTTATCTTTTTCTCCTTCAATGAATTTTATCGAGGCCAAGTCTAATTATTTCTACCCTAGGGATTGTGATAAATTTTTGTTATTTGATTGTTACTGTTATATTTATTGTTTTAAGATTTAAAAATCGAATGTTCACTATCCCCAATTTCTTATGGGGCCATTGCAACTTGTTGGAAAAGCGCAAAATTATCTCATTTTTTCCATATTATGTTTTGTATTTCTGCCTTAGAGATTTTTTATTCATTCAATTAGATAAAATTATTGTAAAAAGTCATCAAATAGTTATATTTAAACAAAGTTCACCATCTGGGCTGATCTAGGGATTTATTTCTAAGTTTATTTTTTCAAAACCAAAAAGCTCTAAATTTGCCATATTACGGTATTAATAAATATCAGTGCAGATGAATTATCGGTACATATGATTTTTTTCAGTAAAAATACCAATGCTTAGATTGCTATTTTGTTTCTTTGGATGTTCTGTCATCAGATTTTAGTATTATAATATCTTGGACGTCTTGAACATACAAGCCAGTCATGCGTCATTCTTTGCGTCATTCATTGCTTTAAAGAACCGAAAATTGTAGTCGTTAGAGCCTTTTCAGCGTTTGTTAAAAATTACATTTTTAGAGCAGTGGGGGTAACAGACGATGTTAAATTTGTTTTAAAATCAAAATATTTGGCAAAGCTCCACTGTCGCACAAATGACTGCATGAAATTTAACAGCTGCGCAAAGTCATGCGCACTCAAATTAGACTCGGCCTCGTTAAAAGAGCCATTCTCTGTAACCACGTGCACTTAAACTTTGTTGCCACACAAGGTCACCGATTTTTATGAAATTTCACCCATTCCTAGAACTTGATACCAGAAACATATGTCAAATAAATTTTCGTTGCTATGTGTCTCGACTGACATGATAAGTATAGGAATTTTTTTATTTAAAGTGAGATTTTCAGCTACGTTAAATCTTTACTGAGCCTTAATAAAAACTAGGGAAAGTAACAAACCTTTCTCACAAAAGCATTACACCTTGTTGCCACTTACACTGTAGAGAAACTGTCCAGAAACTATCTCTTAGCAAGTGGAAACCAAGGGTAAATTTTGAATACATTTAAAATGTTACTCTTATCAACCTCTGGGTATTAAGTAAAGCATGCTAAGTATATAGTTATGATAAGAGATGGTTCCTCTTTTAAAATTTTGAATTTCATGGCCACTGGTTTAAAACATGAACCACATTCAATTGTTAGAAAATTTGTTACATGATACTCAGGTGATTTATAAGGCCCATGAGCCTCTTAGTAATATATTTTTCATACTAACAAAATGAAAAAAAAAGTTTGGAAATGTTCACTTAATAATTTTATGTACATGTAAATCAAAAGAATAACTAGGACAATGTAAGGCGAAGTATTTTCTCGAAAATCTTAAGATCAAGGCATTATTGTACATCGATCCCGATGCAAATTCATCACTTCCCTTTTCGCACAGAATTAACTCAACTCACTCACTTACTCCCTCACTCACTCACAAACAAACACAGGCGATTGTGTTGCTAAATCCCCTATATCTCAGTAACAAGGCAATAATTACATGTATATCTTTTATATCCATAACTACAAGTACTTAAAATTCTATGAGATTTGGGATTCATACATGTAAGTCATATTTCATGGACGGTACGTATTATATATAACCCTTTATTAAGAAGAATTAATATATTAAGAAGAATTAATATATTAAGAAGAATCTTGTATATTTACTAAAATGACACAGTTGTAAGAATTCGTCATGATTATTTACTCATCTGATAACCTCTTTTTTGCAACAAGTCACATAAATGCTTTGAAAATGGATGAAATTGACAAGTTTTTTCAGATATTGATGCAACCAGCGGCATAATTATATGCAAAATTTGTTGCCATAACAACCATTATATCATCACGATTATACCTCTACAAAGGAATTTTAGCGATTGCAACCTACTGAAATAAATTTAAAATACTTTAACTGTTGGTATTAATATCATTGAGTGTTGTTAACTTAGTGAACTTTACGGATGTTAATCATTTGTGTATTAGGTAATGACACTACATTTTACTGTCTACGTTAACTATTAACGGCCATAAGAAATTGTTTTTATTTTCTCCTTAAATTAATTTTTATGAACAAATTAGTTATTTTTGAAAAATAAATATCCTTAACACATCAGAAAAATAAATTTTAATTTTTAGATGGGTCAGTTTTGGCGGCTGGAGCCTCTACCTCAAATTTGCTTAAAGTACCATTTGCGTGTCCTGAGGAGCTATTGAGACTCTTTTTTGATAAAAAGCTTGTGCAAAATCTGTATCAAAAAATAAAAATAGAAAAAATAACGAATTACCTATTAAGTTATACGTGGTAGCAATATTTGTTGTTTTTTTCCATTCTATTAATGCATTTGTTGCACTTAAAACTGCAATTAACAATTGTAAAACATTATTTTCCAGATAGTAAAAAAACTGATTCTATGACCATCCCCAGAGCAGAACGACATTCCCATTTTGAAAGACTAACAAAAGTTGTAAAGACAGATCAACTAGCAAGTTACTTTTGTGATGAACACAGACGTGTTCCCTTAATCAGTTTTACTTCAGAACATGCCTTAGTTTTATCACACCCTGAAATGAAAGACAGAATGATAGACCATTTGTCTGACATTTCTTTTTCAATCTGCAGGTGTATCAGCCAGGAAATATTTGGAACAGAAGAAAAATTTGATTTAATCTTACAAAATCTTGTTTTAGAAATAGAAAAAAATAAACATCTCTATGTCCCCTCATTAGAGAAAATGCAACAAAAGACAACCATTGATATCGAAATGCTCGTAAACCTCCTTAAAGATGGGGTAGAGTTCGATAACATCGAACTCTCTGCAGCTGCAAATTATTTCCAGTGGCCAATTTATATAGTTAGTTTGGAGGAATCTAATGGAGATTGTGCCGTTAAATGGGAAACATATATATCAAAAACAAAACAAGGATCAATACTTTCAGAAGAAGAAGAATATTACATGATATTCTTCAAAGCTGCCGCTGGTTACTATAACAGGGTTACCTGCAAAGATGCCAAAAATGTTTGTAATTGCTCTTTAAATAAACCAAATGAGATGGTAGAAGCACGAGGTAAAGTATTATTTTCACTTCATCGAAAGCATAGCAGTGGTTTTCCTAAAAATTTAATTTGATATATCAATATAAAACTTGTAAAATCCCGAGAAACACCATTCAGTGCGCTAGACAAACAGAACACGCGTTGTTTTTATTTTTATCTAAAGGGAACAATTGTTCATGAACAAAATAATTTGAATCTCGATCCCGATTACAAATACAATAACATGTACAAATACTGCACTCCTCCCCTCTTACATTTGATACCTCAAAACTTTACTGACTAAAATGAATTTGTGGGTAAAGTTTTGAGGTATCAAATGTAAGAGGGGAGAAATGTTTTATAGATGAGTAGGAAATGTTATTGCCATGAGTAATAAGTATCACAGATAAAATTACCGTACTTAAGAAAACCATGACATTTTGTCTAGAACCAATCGGATAGTGCGTTGTATTACATATATTATAATAGGTTTAAGGTTAGCGATGAGAATGCGTAAAATAGATAACAGAAGGTAAAATCTACCTTGTCTATCAAATAGAATAATATAGAAAGAAGTGGCTACAATTTTCATGAAATTACTAATATCCGATGAGGAATTATATTCCCAAAAAGTAGGACAAGAATTTCCAAGGCGCACTTGAACACTCCATTATTTCAGTTTGTTCATCAACATGTTCATAAACTTAAAAACTATAAGAAATGTTAAAACTTGACTATGTAATTCATATTTGAATATAACAGTACCTCGATTTATATTGAGAAATTCAATGTATAATAAGCTCATCAAAAGATGTACACATTTGACTTTTATCTATAACCTTGCCCCCCCCCCCCCTCCAAAAAAAAAATCCTGTTCACTTGACTTCTCGCTCTCAATTTTCACACTGATGCATAAAATTAAGGTAAAATAGCATAGTCTTGTATCGATTAAAATGCAACTAAAAAATTTTAGGGTGTCTTTAAATAAAGATTTCCATGCTAAATTGACAAAAATATATCTCTAAAATATACTCACCTTCAATTGGCTATTTTCAACATGTTTTCCCGTGGATATTTATTTAATCTTATTTCAGTATCTTCTTTATTAAACTGTTGGTATTTTATTATGGCAGAGATATACAATTATGACTCGCATATACTGTACTCTCTAACTGTTAGGAATAATTTATATTTCACGTGAAAGGGACGTCATACATTTTTCAGTAAAAATACATAACACGGCGTTGGTCGTATAATTTCTTTAAAATTTCACATTTTGTGAATAGTGCACAAATTAGAAAATTAAGTTTATGGAATACTTTAATGGGAAATAAAGATAAACGAAGTGAAATTATTTGTTTTGAGAAATAACATTGAAAAATAATAACGACATTGTTTACTCTTTGTTACCCCAGCAGTGTTTGTCGTGTGCTTTTAAACTTATTTGACTATTTGACAACCATATAAATTAGATTTAATAAAAAATAATCCACAAGAAACTGATGTACAAGAATCAGTAACTGGCATAATGCGCCGTTGCTTTATTCTTTAATTTTTATAGAAAATTGCACGGAACACCCGATTTGGCGTATTTAACGATACCCTTATATCGGGTATTATACGCGATTTCACGGATAATACCCGATTTCGAGTATTCTCTCCGACCTGTTAAAGAAGGAGGTTAGCCAATTTATGCTCGAGGGATTGCGACTTCCCATCAACTTCCTTACATTTGAATGCCTTTTTGACTATCTGCACACCTCTCTCAGCAAATCCATTTGACTGTGGATGGTAGGGTTGTACCAATGTATGCTTTATTCTGTTAAGTCGTGCAAATTCCTTAAGGTATCCAACCCATATTAGGACCAAATATTCTAACCTTAATTATCAATTGTTTGTAAAATATCCTGATATTATTTTAAAGCATTTTAGAGTAAAAAGGGATTTACCAAGAGAATTTTTCCAAAATTTTATTACCTTAGCATAAATTAATTATTGAAGATTGCATTGAAGTCTACGGAAGGAAGTAAGTTTTTTGATTAAAAAAATAAATACTACATGTACAAATATCAAAAAATTCTCTGGTGGGAAGATGTATTTGTTCATAGGGAATAGTAAAACAATTAGAAATATTTTTTTTACCAGACAGATTTTTTTAAAATTATTTTTTATTTAGTAAAATCAAAGGGAGATAACTCGTCAAGGGCAGAAAAAGGTCATAAATTAGGACATGTCCCACTCTTACATTCTGATACTCAAAGAGAAAATTAGTGCTAAATAAACTGAGTATTCATTCCATACATATCTATGATACATTCAATTCTATTGAATCTGGGGCTAATATGGATCGGATACCTTAAATCCACTTTATGTGAATTGTGTCCCGTTATCATTTACTATTTCTTCCGGTAGTCCTGTCGAAGCGAACAATATTCTGAGCTTGTCAATTGTCATTGAGCTTGTCATGGATCTCACCGGAATGGCGTCTATCCACTTAGAGTA